ACACAGCTTCTCCTTTCACTTCGTGACTTTGTGGCAGCTTAACTGTTACCAACTCAGACTCCCAAGACTACAGACATGACCTCCAGCGCACAAAGAAGCGCAAATGTATGGCTGATGAAAGTGCAGAGCCAGGTGTTGAATTTAGTGGAAGTTTCGGATTGAAACGTTCAATGTTCACTTTAAGGGCAGAATCTCTTGCTGCAGCATATCCCACTGATCTGACCTGACCCACTGATCAGCTTGGCAGATGAACTTGTTCAGTACAAATCATTCATTTCAGAAGAACAAAAATGCTTTCCCAAATGTTTACATAGCACTCAGACTGTTTTTGACCCTGCCAATAACAAACTATGAAGGGGAACCGTCATTCTCTAGAGTGGCTCGAATAAAAAATGAGCTCAGAATGAAAATGTGCCAAAATGGGTCGAATTCACTCTCCCTTCTTGCAATAGAATCAGTTTGTTTGACAGCCCAACTTTGATTAGTTAGTGGACGACTTTGCAAGAAGGAAGAGCAGAAAGAAACTTTTATAGAATCCTTAGGTACCGTAGGTTGGTTGGTTGGGGGGTGGGGGTGGGGGTGGGGTTCGGAGTGTTGGGGGGGGTTGGGGGGGAGTTTGGACCCCTCTCGGACCCCCCATAATCCGGCCCTGCCCCCACCTGTATTCAACCGACACCTGCAATGTCTGTCATGGTAGCAATAACTCGTATGCTATATAACGTGTAGTCAGACGGAGCCAATAAACTCTGCAGCTTGCTCGCATGTTTATTCAACAACAACAGAGGACATCCCGTCACTTGTAATAACAGTTCCCCACCTAGTGGTAGCTTAGGGAAACACAGGGCAACATCACAACAGCTCTCACAACACACCCTCCCTTCTGAGTAGGCTGCATACAATAGGCCACAACAAAATAGAACACCTCAGAAGTTTGCCAGTTGTGTTGCAGATTTTCCTTAGCCCATTCTTTTGTTAGTCACTCCAAGTAACTTCAAAATAAATCAAAATATTCCAAACTGTTTAACAACACTATTGTATCACACTCACTTATCTTTCCTTTCTTTCCCTAACTATGAAGGTGGGGTGGACTACCCATTCCTTCATCTGAGTGAGGGGATTATTCTGCCCCGGGCTGGTCATTCAGAGTTACGAGAGTATCTTCTATCTGATTCAAAGTCCATAAGGTACCTCGGAGGGTTTCTCTCTCTGGTAGGGTAAAGCCTCTCCATCGATTGGACCCTCGGTGGTGTAGTGTTGGGCCTCACCATAACCTGGTGGACCAGTGCGATGTCAGCCTCCCCATTGCATTGCGGATATCTGGGGCTGGAGGTAGTGTGAACAAAACCCCACTCTGAGGCGAAGAGGTCTGCGCTGAATGTCCACCGTTGTCACTCCGTACCTCCCGAGCAATGCCATGACATGATGTTTTCTTTAGTTTTTTTCTCTTCAGTTTTTTTTTCCTATTTTTTCCTGGCACCTCTGTCTGGATGAGCTACTCTTAGTCTGGTCCCTCCCCCAGGACCTGTTTGCCTTGAGTAACCTTTCAAAGGGATAAAGCCCTGACAACATAGCTCCTGGGATCATTGGGACACACAAACCCCTCCACCACGGTAAGGTGGTAGCTCAAAGAGGGGAAAAAACCCTCATATGGGAGGGAAAAACCACAAGGTTTTTTTTTCTGTGCAAAACACCCGCTTTAGAGTGGTTTTTTTTTTCAGAAATACTATTAATTTTCTGTTTAGTTTTTTTTTTCTGTTTTCTTTGTTATATACAAATATATATATTTAGGGTGTTTTTTTCAGAAATACTTTTCTTTCTGTGTTTTCTATTTTTTTATACTATTCTTTCCCTTTTTTTAGTTTTCTTGAGTTTTTTTTGCCTGTTTTAAGTTGTTTTTTTAGTTTTATTTTTAGAAATACTATTCTTTTTCTTTTTTTTTTAGTTTTCTTTAGTTTGTTTTCTGCCAAATTTAGATTTTTTTAAGTTTTTTGTTATATATATATTTTGAGGTTTTTTTTTTCAGGAATACTTTTCTTTCTGTTTTTTTTTATTTTGTTTATACTATACTTTCTCCTTTTTTAGTTTTCTGTAGTTTTTTTCCGCCTGTTTTAAGTTTTTTTTTAGTTTTCTTTGTTATACATATGTATACATATATATATATTTAGGGTGTTTTTTTCAGAAATATTTTCTTTCTGTTTTTTTATTTTGTTTATTCTATTCTTTCTCTTTTTTTAGTTTTCTTTGTTATATACAAATATATATATTTAGGGTGTTTTTTTCAGAAATACTTTTCTTTCTGTTTTTTTTATTTTGTATATATTATTCTTTTTTTAAGATTTATTTTTACAGAAATATTATACTTTTTCCTTTTTTTTTCTTTTTTTTCCAGTTTTCTGCCTATTTTACGTTTTTTTGTTTAAGTTTTCTTTAGTTTTTTTGATTTTTCTGCCTGTTTTAAGGTTTCTGTTTAAAGTTTCTTTTTTAAGGTTTTTTTTTTCAAAAATACAATTCTTTCTTTTTTTAAAGTTTTCTTTGTTTTTTTTATTTTACTGCCTGTTTTAAGGTTTCTGTTTAAAGTTTTTTTGAGTGTTTTTTTTTCAAAAATACATTTTTTTTAAGTTTTAAGTTTTATTTTTCTGCCTGTTTTAAGGTTTTGTTTTTAGTTTTGTTTCTTAATTTTTAAGGGTTTTTTTCAGAAATACTATCCTTTTTCTTCCTGATGTTTTTTTTTTTCTGCCTGTTTTAAAGGTTTTTTTTAAATACTATTCTTTTCCTTTTTTTAGTTTTCTTCCTGTTTTTAGGGTTATGTTATATATATATATATATATATATATATATATATATATATATATATATATATATATATATATATATATATATATACATAACCCCCCAAAAAATATGATCATAATATATATATATATATATATATATATATATATATATATATATATATATATATATACATACATATTTGTGCTTAACACCAGGTTTAGGGTGTTTTTTGTGGGGTTTTTTTTTTCAGAAATACTTTTTTTTTTTTTTTAGTTTTCTTAAGTTTTTTAAAGTTCCTGCCTGTTTTAAGTTTTTTTTTACTTTTCAAGTTTTTTTTAGAAATACTATTGATTTTGTTTCTTTTTAGTTTTCTTTTTTTCAGTTTTTTGCTTTTTTTTCTTGAAGTGTACCCACTCGCTTGAAGTTTCAAATGATACCCTGGACAGCTGCTCTCTTTTTAGTTTTCTTCCTGTTTTAAGGGTTATGTATGTATATATGTATTGATATATATATATTAATATATATATATATATATATATATATATATATATATATATATATACATATTTGACTCACAGTCCCGCAGAGTGTCTCCATCTGTCACTCAAGTAGAAGGTCCTGTTAATCCTGGGTCACTTTGTTGGTTGCTGCATTGTCTTTGACTGTTTGTAGTCTCAGAGTTTCAAACGATGCCCTGGACAGCTGCTCTCCTTCCATATACTAACACGAGGTGTGAGCTGTGATGATGTCATAATGATGTCATCACGGAATTGCTCGTTTGATGTCATATTCTCCTGTTGTTTGTTTACATTTGAAATTTTCACATTTAAATGTAAACAAAAGCACATCCTATAACAATCATGTATTTTTCAAACCTGCTGTTAACCCACATTGATTTGAGCTGTTTTTGTAATAGATGCTTCATGAATTGATATGTGTTGATGAGTTAAAGAAGAAAAATTAGTATTACACACCAGCTGTTAAACTGAACTTTACAGACACCATCTTGCCTCTACTTCTGTCCATTGTTGACCCAAAATTAAAATATAGTTCTCTTTAAGTTTTTCTTCCTTTTTTTAGTTTTCCTCCTGTTCTAAGGATTTTGTATATATACATATATAAGTTTGACTCACAGTCCCGCGGAGTGTCTCCATCTCTCTGTCCCTCAAGCAGAAGGTCCTGTCCATCCTGGGTCAGTTTGTTGGTCACTGCATTGTCTTTGACTGTTTGTAGTCTCGGAGTTTCAAACGATACCCTGGACAGCTGCTCTCCTTCAATATACTAACACGAGATGTGAGCTGTGATGATGTCATAATGATGTCATCACGGAATTGCTCGTTTGATGTCATATTCTCCTGTTGTTTGTTTACATTTGAATTTTTCACATTTAAATGTAAACAAAAGCACACCCTATAACAATCGTGTATTTTTCAAACCTGCTGTTAACCCACATTGATTTGAGCTGTTTTTGTAATAGATGCTTTAAATGTAATTTTGTGTGTTTTTTGTGTCAGATAAGGTCCATGTTGTTATTATGTTCGTCTTATGTTGTAATAGACGGGTCAATATAAGGCTAAAGTACCCCTACCCCCAAAAAATTGCAAAAGTTTGTTTTTTGGTGGTTTTATGTTGCATTGGGTCTGGTCTACAACATATTAAAAGTTGGACAAGATTGGAGCATGGGAAAGTGTCTAATTCCGAGGATGACTTTTGTCATTTTTTAAGTCAGTTTTCATACAATGTGAAAACTACAGAAAGCAATAACTCGGTCAATTTTCAAGATAAATCAATGAAACTTGATTTTTTACCTAGATTTTCAGGGGCAATCTTTCATATTAAAGGGCTGTCCCCGCCCGTGTGCCATCACCTTTACGTGTTGGGCGGGATTGAGTATTCTTACGATCCGGAGGGCTATGTCAGCGGAAACTTTAGTTCCTGGCAGGGTTTCCCAAGCTGAAAAGGCCGAAGGGGAGGAACCAGACTAAGAACCCACCGTCGTTCGGATGGGACGTTAAACCGAGGTCCCGTGTGCAGAGGTGCCCTCCCTCTGTGTTCTATCAGTTAAGAGTATTATTAGGCATACCAATGTGGCTTTCTCATGTTGTAGGCTATACCCAGACTAACATAAACCAGCAAAAGCATTTTTTTCCAAAGGAGGTAGGGGTACTTTGACGTTATCAAAATCTGGTGTTTTCCCATACTCAACTACAACATTTTCAATTAAGAGTAGAAGATGGGAAGGCGACGAGGAAGCACAGAAACGCACAATTATCCTTACCGCAGCAAAACTCATCAAAAGTGACATTAAGACGACAGTTGTGCCAATTGGGGAGACGTATCCAACTCTGGCCGAACTGAACCTTAACACAGCGTTAGATTTTATCCCTCCAAGTCTGCGATTCTTGCTGCAGCATCTGTTTGTTGGGAAGGATACAACTAGAAAGATTGCTGGCATCGGGCAAGCTGTTGTTCAGGCTGTGCGTCCAAGAGCTGTAATTGCGCCTTTACAGCTTGGTCTCGCTGTGCAAATGCACCACTTGTACAGGTCACGATTCTTGATGGACAGTCTTTCAACCATGTGGTTTGCTTCATCATACCCAGAGGTACAAAGGTTTGAAGAGAACGCGGCATGTTCACTTGCTGAGGATGTGTTGGGTGACGTGGAGATTCTTAATCAGTCTTTGTTATTTGCCGCAGACAACGTGGATCATAACATCATAACCTTGGATGGAAAGGGTAGCTTTCATGGGATGGGTATGATAGCGGCTATCACGCCAGGGAAGCAAGTCAGTTATGGCATACCAAGACAGAAAATGGCTGAGTTGAAAGTTGTTGAAAGGACGAAAATTGACATCATAGAATACCGCTACACACTACATGTCAACAGAAACATTGAATTTCAGGCCCTCTCATACACATCTGATGTATGTGATCGCAAAGTGGACATTTGCTGGGAAATGTCCTTTCAGTTCCGCCAGAGTACTCCCAGTTGGAATGGCATGATGCACCTGCTGCATAAGGAGTGCGAGTATCCAGGAAAATCCTCTGTACAGTTTCTACCAATGATCGATATGAACCCTGGAGACAAAACCTGTATCTTGTCCACACTAGATTACCTATGCAGTCTTTCGTCAAAACACAACATGCCAACTATCATTTCCTTGGATCAGCCGCTATTTTGGAAGGCGTCTGAAATCGTGAACGCTGTTCCAGATGATAGTCCAATCAGGAATGTGATACTATTACTTGGTAGGTTTCATACCTTCATGAATTTGCTGGGTGCTATTGGCTCTTTGATGGATGGCAGTGGACTCAAGGAGATCATGGAGACAGTGTATGGTGAAAATGCTGTCGTGCACATTATGAGTGGAAAGGCAGTCCAACAAGCGTTTCGTGGTCACCTGCTGGTATATCAGTGTCTTACACGTCAGATTGTTGTGAAAATCCTGGAGGATGACCCTGGTTTTCAGGACCAAGTGGATGGACTTGAGAGACTGTACATGCAGATGGAGACTGGTGAATGTGACTTGGAGTCGTTGTTTGAATCAGATTGCGTTCGCACGATTCACAACACTCTAGCTTTGAAAAAGGATGACTTGGCGAGGACGTCCAAGACCAGCAAACTGTGGGTAAACTATCAGCACATTCTAGGGATCGCTAGGGCACTAGTTGCAGCTGATCGAATGGGGTCTTGGGAGATGCATCTCGGGGCCGTCTCAGCTTGCCTGCTGATATTCGCAGCTGCTGGCCATACGAATTATCTGAAGTCGGCTCATCTGTATCTCCAGAAGATGCATGCGTTGAAGGAGGACAACCCTGAAGTTCATCAGAAGTTCCAGTCTGGGTTTCACGTAATCAGACGCAGAAGCCAATACTGGGCTGGTCTTGGCTCCGATCTCGTGATCGAGCAAACGCTAATGCGCTCACTTAAAACCCCAGGGGGTCTGACGCGAGGAAGTGGGATGTCGGAGCACCAGAGAACTGTTTGGGCCATGTCTTCCACTGTGTCGTCTGCTTACAACCTTGCCATACAAGAACTTACCACGAGAAATTACACAACGGCTGAACAACATAAGGAGTTGTCCACCTCTCGGGTGACCAGAGATGAGGCAGACCTCGGTAAAACTGCAGAAAAACTAGACAACTTCACACCTTTTTCAGCTGATGAATCGTTACGCAATATTATCACAGGGATTAATGCCAACGAGGACATCAATGTTCAGGACCTTTCTGAAATAGGAAAAGACGTACAGAAGATGGACGGGCAATCGGTGTTCTCCTACTCTCACAAACGGAGTTTGAAGGTGAAGACACTAGCATCCAGCAAGAATGTGAAAGTGTCTGAAGATCGTAGCATTGACCCAGCGCTTTTATTTCAGAGGTTCCTGGTTGTCTCACAGACGGGTGATCTTCGGCTAGACAAAGTCATGTCGTATGAACTCTGTCTTTATCCGATGTCCTTGTTCGAAGGAAAGCACATCTTGCGTCAATCGGACAAACCGCAGCTTGCGGAAGCAATCAGGAACTATGTTAAAACCAAATCAGCCACTGCTGTGACACAAACGGTTCCAGTTACAGAGCAATATGTACTAGATGGAGGATCTCTTCTTCACTGCTTGAAATGGACGGAAGGAAGTACCTACAGTTTGATTGCAGAGCACTACACCTCATTCACAGTCAAACACTATGGCAGGGCGACTGTCGTGTTCGATGGTTATGGGGATGGACCGAGTATAAAGAACTGTACTCATCAGCGGAGAAGTCAAAAGCTGAAAGCAAACAAGGTGAACATTACAGAGGTGACCAAATTTGTCGGGAAAAAGGAGAACTTCTTGTCAAATGGGGCAAACAAGCAGGCACTGATCCAGCTGATCATGGAACGAATGCGACAGAATGGCTGCAACATTATTCAAGCGGAAGGTGACGCCGACGTCGAAATCGCAAAGGCAGCCATCAGCATGTCTGCTTTCAGACCGACCACCCTTATTGGAGAAGACCCAGATCTTCTTGTTCTCTTACTCTACCATGCAGACGCTTCCAAGTGCGTTGAACTCTATTTTTGCTCTGACAAGGCGAAATCACATGTCTATAATATCAAGGTCCTCAAACAGGTGCTTGGTGAAGCAGTCTGCAATGACCGGTTGTTTCTGCATGCCTTTACTGGATGCGACTCGGTTTCCAGGGTATTTGGTATTGGAAAGAAAGTGGGGTTCCAACGAATCATCAAGAAAGAAAAGGCAATGAAAGACTGTTCAAAAGCATTCTCTACACCAAAGCAAAGCTGAGATGTGGTGGAAACCAAAGGTTGTACGGCGATGGTAGCATTGTTCAACGCAGATCAGAAGGACTCCCTGGCATCTCTCAGATACAACATGCTCTGCAAAAAAGTTGCGAGAGCGAAAATGTTTGTCACGCCCGAACGTCTCCCACCAACTGCCTCCGCCTGTAAATTTCATTCCCTGCGGACTTACTACCAGGTTATGGAGTGGATGGGTTGTTGTGAGGAGATGGAGTCATGTGATTGGGGATGGAAGGTAGAAGTGGACAAACTTGTTCCAGTGATGACCGACAAAAGCCCAGCTCCAGAAGCTCCGAATTAGATGATTCACTGCAACTGTTCAGAAGGATGCAATACCCTAAGGTGTACCTGCAGAAAGCATGGGCTACAGTGTACCAGTGAGTGCGGACATTGCCAAGATGGCAACTGTGACAATATAGCAAATGATCCAGTGGTAGATGATGATGATGATGATGATGATGATGATGATGATGATGATGACGCGTAAAAAAATTTGGCAGAAGTATTCCCGTTTTTGAACCCGGGTGGGTGCATATGATGTAGGGTTACCCCTAGATATGGCCAATGGGTGATCCAACATCACTGACAACCCTTTAATATGAAAGATTGCCCCTGAAAACCTAGGTAAAAAATCAAGTTTCATTGATTTATCTTAAAAATTGACCGAGTTATTGCTTTCTGTAGTTTTCACATTGTATGAAAAATGAGTTAAAAAATGACAAAAGTCATCCTCAAAATTAGACACTTTCCCATGTATGTTGTAGACCAGACCCAATGCAAAATAAAACCACCAAAAAACAAACTTTTGCAATTTTTGGGGGGTCAATCGGTGTATTGACTCGTCTATAAATTGAAAAAGCAGGTCCCTCTGAAGTTGCGCTGACCTTGCTCATTATTATTCCAGAGCGCGTCCTCGGTGAGCCGCGCCCACTCTCTCGTTCTCGTACTCATTCACAGTCAACATCACTCTCCAGCCAGAGCGAGACCCAGCTACCACTGTATCTGCTATGGGTCTCTTCCAAACAACCGGTGTTTCCTTGGGTTCACTGCTGGGAAAATGAACTTACAGCTGGGCAGAATGAATGAGAAAACACTGCTGGAGATCTCTGGCTTCTTCTTCAACTTCCACCTCCTTTTCAGACTCAGGGCCTAAAATATATGGTTTAATACCAGCCATTTTTAGCCTTTAGCATAAGGTGACCAGACGTCCCTGATTTCCGGGGACAGTCCCCGTATTGGATGACCCATCCCTGGCTAAAGCTGTCCCCGAAAATGTCCCTGATTTAAGCGTTTCATGAATGAGAGCAAAAATGTTGCGTGTGGGCTCGAACAACAGTTATTACAGTAGCCGAATAGGTAGGAAGCACAAGTAAGCAGTCCTGAACAACAGTTTTTAAGGGGGTTATTACAAGGGGCATGCACTGCTACTAAATAGTACCGAGACTTTGTCTGTGATCACACAGCCCCTGCAGCCCCTGCACCGCCGCCACCGACGACTTAAGCCATGTCTCTTGAATACATATTACTTGCGGCTTTTCACACCTTTCTTTGATAAATTTCTTAAATTCTTGACCATTAGCAATAAGACTTCTAGCATTGCACTGTAGAATAGCTAGAACCATGAGGAGTTTCCACCCCATGTCTGCGAATCAAACATTTCTCCAGCTAATGTTTCCTGAACCTTTTCACAACTAAGCCCCTTGATGTCAAGGTATTTCTCTGCAGCCTTGATAATAATCTTGATCTTCTCCGTTTTGCTGTTTGTTTGCACTGAGCAATTTATCACTTCTACCATGAATAATACAAAGTCATTCTTCCTCACTGTAAGTGTATTTTCTTTTGATTTAGACACACTAGCTTCGACTCTGTTGCTGGCGTCAGCCCTCACCATTTTTGCTGGATCTATATGGCTCGCCCCCACTTTCTTCGCTGCTTCAGGATACGATATTCCCATCGATGTTTTCACTTTTTGAATTTCTGCCGCCTTCTTGCCTGCCTGACAACCTCGATACGCCAAGGTGTGCTCCCCCCCCGCAGTTGCAGCATTCTAGCTTAGCCCCTTCTTGGCATTTACAATATTCATGATCCCCTGCACATCTCCCACATTTCTATTTACCCCTGCAGACCGCTGCAACATGTCTGTATTTCTGGCACTTGAAGCACCTAAGCGGTGGGAGGACAAATGGCCTAACTTCATAACACATGTATCCGATGTATACTTTATCTGGCAGCTTTGGTTCCTCAAACCTGATTTTGACAGAGAGACTGTCCGTCTTCTCTCCGTTTCTGTTTGTTTTTAGTCTCTGCACTTCCAGCACTCTGGCCCCCTCTATATTATCTCTGATCTCGTCACAGGTAATTGCTGTGGGAATATTTGATATAACCCCCACAAGAACTTAATGTATGGCTTTTGTCAGCTTAATTGGGCTCCACTCACCAAACGATTGTCCTTCCTGAGTCATTCTAATAATTACTTTGTATTCCTCAATTTGCTTTGGCCTTGCACTTCGCTCCCCTTCACTGGTCGAAACCGATGAATCATAATCCCCTCTCCTTGCTGCCTCCTTTGCTACTTTCTTCCGTTTTTTCCTGTTCAGACACTGTTCACCTGCAATATTCCAAACTCCCTCCTCCATCTCACTTCCTACCCCGTCACTTCCCTCTGCCATCTCTCCGTCCACCAATCCTCCTCCAGCCCGGCACTGAGTTGACAGAGGAGCTGGCATTTAAGGCCAGGTAATTGACACCAACGAGAATCAGGTGCGTGCAATCAGTCCGGGCCAGCCCCGCCTCCCACCATGCCTCCAGCGCTGCAGAGAGAGAGAGAGGGGGAACACACACAGAGGAGAGGAACACAGGAACTCCAACTGCTGCATAACTCAAAAACCTCACACACTGAATAAAATGAACACAAAAAAAAAGAACAAAAAAAAAAAAAAAAAACATATGATACTTTGTGAGGGCTATGACAAGATCCACTGCTATAATCTAGAAAAATACCAAACAAAACCTGGAAAATACACCAATACAAAAAAAGTAAAGTATAACTAAAGAAATGAGTTTTACAAGTAGGATAAAAACAACATGACAATGAAATCATCAAAACAATATGATACAACTATCAAAGAAGAAAAAAAAAATGAAAATAAAGGAAACATCAAAATTTAAATAGTTTAACAATAAACCATGGTAATTTGAAACAGTTCCCTGCAAAACACAAAAAAAGTTTTGAAACACATTAAATAAAATGAAGAGAAAAAAAAAGGAAGTCACATATGATACATATGATCGTAGATACAAACCCCCTCTTCAGCCAGTGAACACCTGTGGAGTGGACATCTAAGTGGTGACATCATATAAATACCTAGGTGTACATCTGGATAATAAGTTGGACTGGTCAAAGAATATAGACTTCATCTACAGAAAGGGGCAGAGTCACCTCTTTTGCCTGAGAAGACTCCGATCAACAGACATCTGTAGTAAGATGCTGCAGATGTTTTATCAGTCTGTGGTGTCTACTGTGTTCTGTTCTACGCTGCAGTCTGCTGGGGAGGAAGCATCAAACACAAAGATGCAAGACGTCTTAACAAACTGGTGAAAAAGGCTGGCTCTGTGGTAGGACTCAGGCTGGACTCAGTGGAGGATGTGGTAGAGAGATCTACACTGAGAAAGGTGGAGACTATTCTAAAGAACATGGATCACCTTCACAACACCTCGATGGACTAAAGGGCAAATGATGGTGGACGGCTCCTCTCTAAGAATAAGAAAAATTAAAAAAAGGGAAAATACATGTGATACTTGGTGAAGGCTATGAAAAGAGCCACTGCTACAATCTAGAAAAATAAGAAACAAATCCTAGAAAATACACCAATACAAGAAAAGTAAAATACAACTAAAGAAATTAGTTTTACAAGCAGCATAAAAACAACATGACAATGAAATCATCAAAACAATATGATGCAACCATCAAGAATGAAAAAAGTGAAATTAAAGGAAACATCAAAAATTAAATAATTTAAAAATTAACCAGTGGTTCTCAAGTCTAGTCCTCGAGGCCCACTGTCCTGCATGTTTTGGATGTTTCCCTGCTTCAACACACCTGATTCAAATGATTGGCTCGTTAGTAAGCCATTACAGAGCTTGATAACGAGCTGAGCAGAATCAAGAAATAAACCTATGGCAATTTGAAACAGTTCCCTGCAAAACACAAAAAAACAGAACAATTTTGAAACACATTAAATAAAATGAAAAAAAAAGGAAATCACATATGATATTTGTTGAAGGCTATGAAAAGAGCCACTGCTATAATCGAGAAAAAGACCAAACAAACTCTGAAAATACACCAACACAAAAGAAAAACAAAAATACAACTAAAGAAATAAGTTTTATTAGTAGAACAAATACAACATGACAATAAAACCATCAAAACAATATGATACAACCATCAAGAAGGAAAAAAATAATGAATGTAATCAAGGGAAACTTATCAAATATTAAAAAGTTTAACAATAAACCATGGAACCATGGTAACCCGGAAAACACACACACAAAAAAAAAGGGAAAAAAACGGAACAATTTTGAAACACATTGAATGAAATGAAAAAAATTACATTACATATGATACCTGGTAAAGGCTATGAAAAGAGCCACTGTTATAATTTAGAAAAAAAAAACAAACAAACCCTGAAAAACACACCGATAGGAGGTTTTTACTTGATGTCACTTCCGTTTTACGCGGCACGAGCGCAATACAGATGGAGGGCAGGAGGTGAGTTGATGCTATAGAGACCAGCAACATGCTGATGTTTTGCTTCGTTTACAGCTGCTCGATTCGATCGAACAGGGAAAAAAACAAGAGCTTTTATCGTGTGCCCAAAGTAGTGTTACACAAAGGAGAAAGATGTAAGAAGCTGACTGAACAATGCCAGAAAAAATGGCTTTAATCTCCTCTACGGTCTGGAGGAGCTGTGTCAGATAATGCCCGTG